TACGTGTTTGAACTTTTCAGTTGACGCTATGGTAAAAGAATAATGATCTTGTAATGGTTAGAGTTTGGGTTAGGGTTAGGGTGAAGGAAGATCCTAAAAGCATAAGTTTGGTATCATTCAAAAGGGTATGACACAAGTATTCCTGAACAGCAATTCGTTATGGAATATCGTCTTTGGTTTTGGAATTGTACGTGTTTGAACTTTTCAGATGACGCTAGGGTAAAAAGTTAATGATCATGTAATGGTCAGGGTTAGGGTTAGGGTTAGGGTTAGGGTTAGGGTTAGGGTTAGGGTTAGGGTGAAGGAAGGTCCTAGAAAGCAAAAGTTTGGTATCATTCAAAAGGGTATGACACAAGTATTCCTGAACAGCAAACCGTTATGGAATATCGTCTTTGGTTTTGGAATTGTACGTGTTTGAACTTTTTAGTTGACGCTATGGTAAAAAGTTAATGATCTTGAAATGGATAGGGTTTGGGTTAGGGTTAGCGTGAAGGAAAATCGTAGAAAGCAAAAGTTTGGTATCATTCAAAAGGGTATGACACAAGTATTCCAGAACAGCAAACCGTTTTGGAATATCGTCTTTGGTTTTGGAATTGTACGTGTTTGAACTTTTCAGTTGACGCTATGGTAAAAAGTTAATGATCATGTAATGGTTAGGGTTTGGGTTAGGGTTAGGGTTAGGGTTAGGGTTAGCGTTAGGGTTAGGGTTAGGGTAAAGAAAGGTCCTAGAAAGCAAAAGTTTGGTATCGTTGGAAAAAGTATGACACAAGTATTCCAGAACAGCAAACCGTTTTGGAATATCGTCTTTGGTTTTGGAATTGTGCGTGTTTGAACTTTTCAGATGACGCTGGGGGTAAAAAGTCAATGATCATGTAATGATGGTAAGGGTTAGGGTTAGGGTTAGGGTGAAGGAAGATCGTAGAAAGCAAAAGTTTGGTATCATTCAAAAGGGTATGATACTCGTATTACAGAACAGCAAACCGTTTTGGAATATCGTCTTTGGTTTTGGAATTGTACGTGATTAAACTTTTCAGATGACGCTAAGGTAAAAAGGTAATGATCATGTAATGGTTTGGGTTTAGGTTAGGGTTAGGGTTAGGGTTAGGGTGAAGGAAGGTCCTAGAAAGCAAAAGTTTGGTATCGTTCGATAGGGTATGACACAAGTATTCCAGAACAGCAAACCGTTTCGTAATATCGTCTTTGGTTTTGGAATTGTACGTATTTGAACTTTTCAGATGCCCCTATGGTAAAAAGTTAATGAGCTTGTAATGGTGAGGGTTTGGGTTACGGTTAGGGTTAGGGTTAGGGTGAAGGAAGGTCCTAGAAAGCAAGAGTTTTGTATCGTTGGAAAGGGTATGACACAAGTATTCCAGAACAGCAAACCGTTTTGGAATATCGTCTTTGGTTTTGGAATTGTACGTGTTTGAACTTTTCAGATGACGCTATGGTAAAAAGTTAATGATCATGTAATGGTTAGGGTTTGGGTTAGGGTTAGGGTGAAGGAAGGTCCTAGAAAGCAAAAGTTTGGTATCGTTCAAAAGGGTATGACACAAGTATTCCTGAACAGCAAACCGTTTTGGACTATCGTCTTTGGTTTTGCAATTGTACGTGTTTGAACTTCTCAGATGACGCTAGGGTAAAAAGTTAATGATCATGTAATGGTTAGGGTTAGGGTTAGGGTGAAGGAAGATCCTAGAAAGCAAAAGTTTGTTATCTTTCTAAAGGGTATGACACAAGTATTCCAGAACAGCAAACCGTTTTGGAATATCGTCTTTGGTTTTGGAATTGTACGTGTTTGAACTTTTCAGTTGACGCTATGGTAAAAAGTCAATGATCATGTAATGGTTAGGGTTTGGGTTAGGGTTAGGGTTAGGGTTAGGGTTAGCGTTAGTGTTAGGGTTAGGGTAAAGGAAGGTCCTAGAAAGCAAAAGTTTGGTATCGTTGGAAAAAGTATGACACAAGTATTCCAGAACAGCAAACCGTTTTGGAATATCGTCTTTGGTTTTGGAATTGTACGTGTTTGAACTTTTTAGATGACGCTAGGGAAAAAAATTGATGATCATGTAATAATTAGGGTTTGGGTTAGGGTTAGGGTGAAGGAAGATCCTAGAAAGCAAAAGTTTGGTATCGTTGGTAAGGGTATGACACAAGTATTCCAGAACAGCAAACCGTTTTGGAATATCGTCTTTGGTTTTGGAATTTTACGTGTTTGAACTTTTCAGATGACGCTTGGGGTAAAAAGTCAATGATCATGTAATGATGGTAAGGGTTAGGGATAGGGTTAGGGTGAAGGAAGGTCCTAAAAAACCAAAAGTTTGGTATCGTTGGAAAGAGTATGACACAAGTATTCCAGAACAGCAAACCGTTTTGGAATATTGTCTTTGGTTTTGGAATTGTACGTGTTTGAACTTTTCAGATGACGCTAGGGTAAAAAGTTAATGATCATGTAATGGTTAGGGTTTGGGTTAGGGTTATGGTGAAGGAAGATCCTAGAAAGCAAAAGTTTGGTATCGTTGGAACGGGTATGACACAAGTATTCCAGAACAGCAAACCGTTTTGGAATATCGTCTTTGGTTTTGGAATTGTACGTGTTTGAACTTTTCAGATGACGCTTGGGGTAAAAAGTCAATGATCAAGTAATGATGGTAAGGGTTAGGGTTAGCATTAGGGTGAAGGAAGGTCCTAAAAAACCAAAAGTTTGGTATCGTTGGAAAGGGTATGACACAAGTATTCCAGAACAGCAAACCGTTTTGAAATATCGTCTTTGGTTTTGGAATTGTACGTGTTTGAACTTTTTAGATGACGCTGGGGGTAAAAAGTCAATGATCTTGTAATGATGGTAAGGGTTAGGGTTAGGGGTTAGGGTTAGGGTGAAGGAAGGTCCTAGAAAGCACAAGTTTGGTACTATTCAAAAGGGTATGACACAAGTATTCCAGAACAGCAAACCGTTTTGAAATATCGTCTTTGGTTTTGGAATTGTACGTGTTTGGACTTTTCAGATGACGCTTGGGGTAAAAAGTCAATGATCATGTAATGATGGTAAGGGTTAGGGTTAGGGTTAGGGTGAAGGAAGATCCTAGAAAGCAAAAGTTTGGTATCATTCAAAATCGTATGACACAAGTATTCCAAAACAGCAAACCGTTTTTGAATAACGTATTTGGTTTTGGAATTGTACGTGTTTGAACTTTTCAGATGACTCTAGGGTAAAAAGTTAATGATCAAGTAATGGTTAGGGTTTGGGTTAGGGTTAGGGTGAAGGAAGATCCTAGCCCTAGTCCTGCGGCCGCCGAGATATCTCGGTTTTCCCATGTGTTTCCTGTATGCGGACCCCGAGATATCTCGGTTTTCTGGTATCTCATACATAGACGCGTCACACTCCCGCGTATCGCGCGAATGCGGAAGTAACTTCACCCGTGCCGAGTGCCGAGGGGTCAAGGGTCAACATGACCTTACGTTATCACTACTACGTCATCCCATGAGCCTTTGCGCGCTAATTTATTCCAAAATGGCGACGTCGTCTGCAGTTTCTTTTGTTATGGATGTTTACAGTGGGTTTAGGCGGTAAATTCGTCGTGTAAATGCTAAAATGGAATGGTTTACGACTGAAGAGGCAATCGAAGAGATATTTACGGAAGATTCCGGCCAAGAATACCCCACTTCGGACGAAACTTCGTCAGAAAGCAGCGACGAAGAGAGTGAAGACGGTGAACGTCAACAAGTCCGTGCTAGCAGACGACAACGTGGCCAATCTCCTGTACAGGAGACCGAGGAAGAGGCCCCGGACCAGGAAGAGCCGCAGGTCCAGCCTGAAAGAGACGATGGCAGGGGCCGTGGCCGTGGCCGTGGCCGTGGTCGTGCTCGGGGCAGAGGCCGAGGAGGTCGTGGAAGAGGCCGCGGGCGTGGAAGAGGCGCGGGTGCAGCGAGGGGGAGACGTGGCAGCCGACGCGGTGCACAGGGACGCGCAACCCCCGGCGGTGCTAGCGGAACAGCTGGAATTGATCCGCGTCTTGACGATGAAAACTGGGAGCAAGTTGACGGCGACTCCTTGCCCCAGGCCCCACATGATTATACTGCAGAGAGGGGATTCACCGACCAGGTGATTTAACCATTTTTTCTTGGCCCTTATTTGTACATGCATGGGGATTTTTTTATTCTGTATTTTTATTCTGTAATATAAAATAATTTCTAAATCTACTTTGAGTTTCTACTTGTAGATTTTTTATGATATAATTTACAGAGGTATACATTCAGTGTAAAATAGTTTCTAAATCTACTTTGATTTTCTACTTGTAGATTTTTTATGATATACTTTATAGAAGTAAACATTATGGCAGTTTGTATCAAATTTTATTTTCCCTTCATCTTTATCACTGTTCAACATTGCCACACTGAAATTGTGTAGTGTAAAATAATTGCCAAATCTTTATTGATTTTCTGCTTGTAGATTTTTTATGATATACTTTATAGAAGTAAAAATTATGACAGTTTGTATCAAATTTTAGTTTCCCTTCATCTTTATTACTGTTCAACATTGCCCTACTGATATTGTAATGCTTCAACAATGCACCCAGGTATGTGATCTATAAAATTGTCTGAACCAGATTTTATTTTGTACCATTTTTAGGTCACACTTCCCGATGAGCCAGAGCCTTTGGACTTTCTAAATCTTATGGTTCCTGACTCTCTGTACAAAAACATCTCGGAGCAGACTAATAAATACGCAGAGGACTTCTTCGCTAAGAAACCGAAAGACCAGCTTCCCCCCTACTCTCGGATGAGAGCCTGGCCCGATGGTGGAGTCTCTGAGGCTGACATCAAGGCATTTATTGCACTCACAATTGCAATGGGAATGATCCACCAACAAGACCTCCAGGACTATTGGAGTACTGATGAAGTATTGGACACCCCGTTCTTCCGGACAGTCATGTCTCGCGACAAATTCCTCCTCATCTTCAAGTTCCTGCACCTCAACGACAACGACAGCTACCAACCACGCGGACACCCCGACTATGACCCATTTCACAAACTGGGAGATGTCTACAAAACAATTGTCCAACAGTTTTCAACAACATGGTCACCGGGAAGGGAAGTGTGCATTGATGAAGGCATGGTGCCATTCCGAGGGAATGTGCATTTCCGCACATATAACCCAGACAAGCCGGACAAATATGGGCTTAAAGCCTATGAGCTGTGCGATTCCAGTAATGGCTACTGTTGTGGGTTCGAGATGTATGGTGGCAAGGGGAAGGAACCGTCAGCCAAAGGCCTGACACATGACATCGTGTCACGGCTGATGGAACCGTACACACAGACAGGACGAACACTATATGTAGACAACTACTATACATCACCTCAGCTTTTCCTTGACCTTGCAGACAACAACACAAATGCATGTGGCACAATGAGGAATAGGAAGGGACTACCATCTACCTTCAAAGATGCCAACCTGACAACAGCGCGCCAAAAGTTCTGCATGGCAAACGGGTCCCTCCTTGCAGTAAAATACAAGGATAGGAGGGACGTCAAGATGCTGTCAACGGCGCATAGCGCTAAAATGGTCGACACCCGGAAGCGGAACCATCAGGGAGAGCGGGTGATGAAGCCAGAATGCATCCACTATTACAATAAGTTCATGGGTGCCGTCGACCGATCCGACCAGATGGTTTCGTATCTGAGCTTCAGGAGACCCTGAAGTGGTGGAAAAAGGCTTTTTTCCACATCTTCAGCCTGGCAATTCTGAATGCTTACATCCTGTACAAGGAGTATATGAAAGCTAATGCTCCAGGTCGTAGGAATGTTCCAGGCGGTGCCGATGGTCCAGCCCCCGGCGGTGCCGATGGTCCAGCTCCAGGCGGTGCCGATGGTCCAGCTCCAGGCAGTGCGGATGCTCCAGCTCCAGGCAGTGCGGATGCTCCAGCTCCAGGCAGTGCGGATGCTCCAGCTCCAGGCAGTGCGGATGCTCCAGCTCCAGGCAGTGCGGATGCTCCAGCTCCAGGCGGTGCAGATGCTCCAGCTCCAGGCGGTACCGATGCTCCAGCTCCAGGCGGTGCCGATGCTCCAGCTCCAGGCGGTGCCGATGCTCCAGCTCCAGGCGGTGCCGATGCTCCAGATGCAACATCTAGTTCAGTGCTGCGTCACAAGGCCTTCAGAAAGGCAATTGTGAAGGCGCTGATAACCACCTCCGGTTTCACCAGGAGTGAAAGGAGAAGCAGTGGAGCAAATGGTGCCATCCTCCAGCGCCTCACTGGTCGCCATTTCCTGGAGAGGCTGCCGCCAACGAAGGGAGGGAAGCATGCGATGAAGCGGTGCCATGTCTGCGGCCCAGCTGAAAGGCATTGGGTAGAGTCCAGAAACCTCCCACGCAAGTCCAAGTATGGCCGCGAAAGTGCTCTCCATTGTAAGCAGTGTAATGTTGCACTGTGCCTCAGTCCATGCATGGAGATCTTCCACACCTGTGATCACTACATCAAGGCATGGCAGAGGGAAAAGGGATACATCGACTAGGTACATCTGATAATAGTAAGCTACAAGTGGATTTTTTCCAATATTGTACAAGAATTGTGTTTTTATTGCTTTTTATACCTTTTATTACCCTTGTAATTAACATTGTCAAGTTGATAATACTTCTCGTGGAAAGTACAAACTGTAAGCTTCCATTTGATATATGACAAGTGTGTATAGGATCTAAAGCTACAGGAAGGAGAACACTCTATTGTAGTAGATAGCCATTTCAGCTGGGTAGGCAGTTCAGCACCCAGAATATTCTGTAGTAATAAACTTACCTGTAGAGATACCTGGATACTTTTTTTAGTCTGGCAGATACTCCTGGTGTTGTCAGGATCCCTCAGAAGTTGTATGGTCCAGGTGCTAGTGATTCCATGGGTACCAAGTGGACTTTATTCCAATATTGTACAAGAAATGTGTTTTTATTGCTTTTTATACCTTTTATTACCCTTGTAATTAACATTGTCAAGTTGATAATACTTCTCGTGGAAAGTACAAACTGTAAGCTTTCATATGATATATGACAAATATGTATAGGATCTTTTGTAAGGCTACAGGAAGGAGAACACTCTATTGTAGTAGATAGCCATTTCAGCTGGGTAGGCAGTTCAGCACCCAGGATATTCTGTAGTAATAAACTTACCTGTAGAGATACCTGGATGCCGTTTTTTGTCTTTCGTGTACGTCTGATGATGTCAGGACATCTCAGGAATAATATAGTCTGCAATTTGGACTTCCTATGTGGTTTAAACTTTTGTAACATATGGATTTCACTAAAAAAAGGATTTTTATTGCATTATTGCCCCCATTAGTCATTACTACTTACACTAGGCTACTTTTGAAAGTCATATATAAAAAGTACAGATTCTTAGCTTTTCGTTGATGTATAACATAATGGGTTTTACTTTGACGAAAGCAACATAAAATAAGTGAAATAAAAGTAGTACCAAATATTTCAGTAGGGTCTGGAAACCCCAGCACAGGGAGTGTGTATATGCCAGAATGGCCAGCAGGACAAGGGCTAGAAAGCAAAAGTTTGGTATCATTCAAAAGCGTATGACACAAGTATTCCAAAACAGCAAACCGTTTTGGAATATCGTCTTTGGTTTTGGAATTGTACGTGTTTGAACTTTTCAGATGACGCTATGGTAAAAAGTTAATGATCATGTAATCGTTAGGGTTTGGGTTAGGGTTAGGGCTAGGGTTAGGGTGAAGGAAGGTCCTAGAAAGCAAAAGTTTGGTATCGTTCGAAAGGGTATGACACAAGTATTCCAGAACAGCAAACCGTTTTGGAATATCGTCTTTGGTTTTGGAATTGTACGTGTTTGAACTTTTCAGATGACGTTAGGGTAAAAAGTTAATGATCATGTAATGGTTAGGGTTTGGGTTAGGGTTAGGGTGAAGGAAGGTCCTAGGAAGAAAACAGCAGCAAAGGCAGCATATACATTTATTTTTTCTTCTGACACCAGGCATTGATGAAAAGACTAGATGTTACTTTCCGTAAGTGTGTATACCGTAAAAATTAATAAATGAGATGATCAAGATCTACCTGCAAGTTGTCCCATCGTGCGCTTGACCAGACTTGGCGGGACCGGGTGTGTAGTCCTCCCGCCGGCGTTGATTTATACGCTGCGGTGAGTTTTGTCCACAACCGTTTAATCTTTTTTACCTCGTGCATTTGTGCAAGACTGCAAGGATTTGCACGGCGGTAGTAAATCAGCAGACCACGCTTGTATGGGCTTTGGGCTATCAGACCGCATTGTAAACCAGCCATCACGTACGAAAAATAACATGTACTTCGGGTTGTAGCGCTGAGTAAGTAGCATGGCAGCCACGACTCCGTGCGGAATGTGTGAAAACCGCAGCGCGTAGAGGTTAAGAATCTACATCAAATACACTATACCATAGTATAACTTTACTATCAACGGGCACTTATTTAATTAGCCAATTAATATTAAGCTATTGAAAGATTCCGTGCTGACTACACTGTACACATCGCGACAATGTAACCTGTTGTTGATTAACAAGGGTGTAAGCTTCTTGGTCAAAGTATTTTCCTGGTGCTGAGTCAAACAGCATACACATACATTTCACCTGGAAGTTTGGCTGATATATTATTGCTAATTGGTCTCATTGATGATATCATTTTGGGAGTTATAGCACAGTAAGTATAGTACAAAAAGGTACGAGCTATCACATTTTTTTTCGTCTATGATCTCTCTAGATTAATAGAAACGAGTATAAAATCAAAAAGCAATATTTATCACAGCTTATCAGTGGAACAACAGATCGTACTATAAAATGTGCGGTATTGGTATTCTTGTAACACTAAAATAAAGACGAACAATTAACTTGCGGGCCTAATTGAATATTTGCCAATCATGTGACAACTTACTATTGAAATACACATATTGTAACTGCCTTACTCCAGCATAACATATATTGAAAAACTATTGAATAATGCATAACTGTAAAATTTGTTATCAAGCTTGAAATATTGTAGCTGTTGCGCATTTTATTGTGTGCGTAGAGGTTAGAATTAAGTTTGAATTATATCGCTAAACCATTTTTTTTCAGTTTTTATATTGGAAACAAAATGCAACGAATGTAAATGTTTGTAATAAAACATGCTATTCAGCCTCCGGGCTGCAAAACGTTTAAAAGTAATAAACCAGTCATCGTACATAAAGCCTTCGTTGCAGTTCCAATGTAGGGGGCGTTTTCTGTCCCCAAGCTGACTAGTCAGGGCCTATCAGTGTGACGCTTGTGGGGAAAATGGTTGAGGGAACATTATCAGGTCACGCGATCCTTCTGCTTGGTTAGCTTTAGTGTTTCGCCGAGAGGAGAGTTTTGGGTATGCTCCTCCTAGGAGACTAAGATATAAATACTTGATTTTTTAAGAAATCGTTGGTAAATGTGATTATATCTTTAGATATAATATTAGACAAGTATTGTGTGCGACAGTCTATAAATGTAAAGCTTGAATTGTGATACTAAATGGGGTAGAGTTTTCAAGGCCATGTAAACACTCCGCTCAGTGTAGCGTGACGTGTTGCCTGCGGTTTTCTATTCACTAACTGTTGTGCGAGATGTGCTGCTGTTTTCACAATGATCAGTAGGAGGCAGTGTTGTACAGCCCTATATGTACTTGATGTACTAAGGCCTCCATCCACCTTTATCGTTAAACTAATTAATCTTCTTCCGTATAAAATTCCCACAGGAGGTAAAACTCTTGCCGTTTCGTCAATGGCACTAAGGCCGTGTCTATACGGAATCACCCAAACCGCGATTCGGGTAACTCACATTCCTCACATCTGGTCCACGTGCCACACACACCTGTGAAACCGTGTCCGAACATAATGCGCTTGAGCTACATTTATTGCTGTTTGATGATAACACCGAAGGCGGCGTGTTATTAATGACAGAGGTCAACGACCTGCTTGCTGATGCCCCCCTCCCAGCGTATCTCAGACGAATCCCGACGTGGTCCCGCCAGAGGCGGTGAAGCTCGCCCTAGAACGGAAACATTATTTGACCATTACTGCTCTTTAAGTTTCTGCCACGTAAAAGTTGGTATTGCATATAAATAAAGAAATATCACCCCCTAATCCATGACCAGGCGACCACATTGAAATCACATTGCGTTCAGACGCAAATCGCGATGCGGGGAAACCGATTCGAAACCACCTCTAGAAGTGGCTTGGGCTCGAGGCGCTGTCAATGTGATTTCGGAGCGTTCACATGGAGCCACTTGAAACCGGCTTCGGGGTAAACCACATGTAAACCGCCTTGGGTGATTCCGTTTAGACACGGCCTAAGAGACAAGTCAAGACAATGATGATGTAAATTAGTCAGAAAGCTCCAGGTGTTGCAAAACAAGAGCAGCAGATATATAATCAGACACTAACATACATTGTCCAATAAAGGATTGTAGCCATATTGCTTAAGATAAAAAGAAATAGACATATGGTCTTAACGTTTGAGTTCAATTGAGAGCTTTCTATGACACCAAAATGTTACCATTAGAATATGGCTGACATGGCCAAATATTGTCTGCGTACGGCATAAAAGGAGCATATGAAAATGTGAAAATGAACCTGGTTCATCATACATGCATAGTCTACCAGCTCCTACACCTCCGCACACGTCTACAGACAAAACAGTTGGGCAAGTCCACTTCAATTCCTCCTATGAGAGGGACAGCATTGGGCATTATACATTCATAGGCGTATTTAATTGCTTTTCATTACGACACCAATACACATATCGTATATTAAACACCTTCAACAGTTTCTTTTGTTAAATCTTGTACCCACTGCAGTTTGACGATATTTCAGTTAGGAAATAAAAATGTTTAAATACATCAATGTTTCTACATGTATATTTATTTAATCTCTATATCATCTCATGGACTGAAGTCTCAGGTCTCAGTTGCATTCTCCCAGGAGGGGTTTAAACCTTGAAGATTTGTTGGCGTGAGATAAGCCGCTTTCATAGTTTTTTGGTATCTTGTTTTATTCAGCCAGACGGAGGTACGGTGGATTGGGCACTGCCCGGCCAATTCGATACCGTTGTGTAGCCACGAAAAGATCCGCTTGGAGATAATCTTAACTG